ATATGGGCACAAATCAAAAATAAAGTTACTTCAAAAAATACTACTTTCAAATTGGCAGATCTAAAGATGTTACTTGGAAACGCTACAGCCAATGTAACACCTGCTACGTGGGCAACATGCATCAAATATGTCATTAAGGAAATAGATAAAACGTGGGATGTCGATTCACGTGTTGAAGTTATGGTCGAGCCTATTATTATTACACCAAATGATAATGACAGTACTAGTGGTAGTGATAGTGAATTATTGTATTTTGAAACTGACTGGGATTCTTAAGATTAAAGTATAAACAATCATCAGTTCAATGTAGACCACTTTCAAAAAATATTAAAATATTAAAACATTCATAAGATATTTATTGTTATCAATGCGAGAGCAGACTGAAATATGAAACTGCAAAATAGGTACTCACTGCCTAAGTAAGAAGTTTTCTTGAGTTCTTGTGTTATTCTTGTAAAATTATTTTTCAGGTTAAACTAATTGTACTCACAATAAACTCCCCATTTTATAAAATATAAATATTTAGTTTTCGAAACATCTAATTAAATAATTTTTACGTATCAAACCTACACGCCACTGGAATGTCTTTCCCCTTTCCGTTCGAACACCGCAAAGCTCCGTCAACTTGGAGATGAGTCACTATCAATAAAACCGAACATAGACTATAGTAAACTTCGTTGACTGTTTCTCTTATGGTTTTCCTGTTTTGACTTGTCTGATCGTCATAAGCAGAGTGCCTAATACGTGTTTTAAAAACTCACTAAGTTTATAAAAATATAGTTAAAATCTCATTAAATTACTTAATTTTAACAATATTGAGAAGATATTAGCAATGTACTAAGTGTATTTTAATTCTGAAGAAGTTATATTTCTATCTACAATATGCACTTAATGAGTTTTTCATATGAATGAGTGGTAAAAATTGATCATTTAATTTTCATAAATATTGTACTTAATGAGTTTTACCTTTAAACCGACGAAATATTGTAAGTACGATTAAAGTAATATTAGACAAGACAACTAGAGTAACAATACAAAAACAAACCACTAAAACTATCTACGTATTATCGAAAGAAAACGCAATTGTTATAATGTATTGGCTGATTTTGAGCGCGAATTATAACTAATTATAAATACTTAATACTTTTTTCTAAGTGCCCGATTAAAAAGGTAAATGAATGTTTATTAGAAAACTAAAAACCTTTTTTGATTGTTTTTACATAGGGATTAAAATGCCCGATGCATTTTTATAACCCATCTACTCGATGGGAGGTATTGGAAAGAGAATATACTTTAACATTCTAATAATTTTTGTCAATTTTTTAAAAACTTAAAAAAATAAGGTTACAATTTCTTCTTATTTAGTTTAAGATACCTATAACGAGACATATTATGACACTCATTCATTAGAGTAGCTGGATGATGAACGCCTAATAATGTCTGATAGTAAAGACATTGGATTAAACAACAGCGAACTAGAAAGAAAAACCTCAAATAAGTGTCAGATTAAACGGATTTTGGATGGACATGGAGACCCGATGGTAGAAAATGGATGACGAGGAAATATTGAGATATTATTCATTACCTTACCTAGATTGCGAGTACTTAATACAGATTTTCCATCTTCTAACTCAAGATCGACTCATGTTGATGGACATTTTGAGAAACGCTACGTAATTTGTCAGTTTTGTGGAAAAATATTGAAAAAAATTGAATTTATTCGACATTTGTTTATACATAAAACAATAGAACTAAAATTCAAAATGAAGACAAACTTTTGAAATTAAATTTTTCTTCCAAAGAGCTACAACAAAATAGCTATTGTTGACGACAAATCTAAATTACAGAAAGATTTAAAAATACACAGTGGTGAAAAACCGTTCAAATGTGATATTTGTTATAAAGGATTTAATCGAAAATGTAACTTACAGAGTCATTTATTAATTCACAGTGGGGTCAAACTATTTAAATGTGACATTTGTTCTAAATGTTTTACTAATAAATCTACCTTATCGAGACATTTAATAGTACATAGTAGTGAAAAACCATTTAATTGTTATGTTTGTACCAAAGGATTACAGGATAAATCTGCAATACGGATACATTTAATAACTCACAGTAGTAAAAAACAATTCAAGTGCGACATTTGTTCCAAAGAATTTAATAGTAAGTCTCACTTAAATCAACATTCAGTAATTCATAGTGATGTAAAACTATTCAAGTGTGATATTTGTTTCAAAGATTTTAATTTTAAATGTGCCTTACAAAGACATTTAATAATTCACAGTGGTAAAAAACCATTCAAATGTGACATTTGTTCCAAAGGATTTAATTACAAATGTTCTTTGCATGGACATTTAATAATTCACAGTCGTGAATAACCATTTAAGTGAAGAATTTTCCCAAAATTGTAATTTACAGCAACATTTAATAATTTACAGTGATGACAAAACATTTAAATGTGACATTTAATGGATGGAAATTCGTACAAAAAGTCGCTTATTTCTCGTGATAAAAAAATTGGGGTACAACACCAGAATAATTTTTTTTTAAATAATAATGTTTATTCAATAATAATGTTTATTCAATAATGTAAATATAAAAATGTACATTATAATTTTTAAAAAGTTAAAAGAAACATAATGAATAAACATAAATCCACTGAAACCGACCTGCAGGCAGTGTCTGTTTGTATGTGGAAACTTTGGCATGAAAAAAAAATATATATAAATAAAATATTATTAACATTAATAAAAATAACTCAGTAAAGTATCACAATAAGATAAAGCGTCACAATAGGGTTAATATGAGTCACAATTAGGGTAAAGCATCACAATAGGGTAAAGCATCACAATAGGGTAAAGCGACAAATAGGGTATATATAAAATAATGTTTTAATCGGTATGGCAGTTAAAATATAATAAAATTAAAATTAATATTATGTAGGATGTATAGGTACACATAGAAGGTATAACATAATTTGATACAAGAATCTATATTAGTTAATTTAGTTTATTAATTTAGTTTGGTGCACTCAAGGTGTACCCTACGATATATTATTTATTATATTATGAAATGTTACTCTGGGTGTATCTTTAATCCAAAGTTTAAGTGAATTTTTAAATGTAATTGTATTTTGGATATTTTTAAGTTCTGCTGGAATGCTGTTATAAATTTTAGGTGCAAGGTAATTAATGCTTCGTTGTTTAATTGTTTTTTCACATTTAGGTACCTTTACATTAAGGTTTTTGTTTCTGGTAGAATAAGAGTGTGACAGAGGTTCTATTATTACTTTTTTTTATGAATGTTTATAATAACTTTTTCACAATACAGTTGCCTTACGTCAAGTACATTACTAATTTGATATAATGCGTTACTAGAAAACCTAATGTTTTTTCTATATATTATTCTTAGTATCCATTTTTGTAATATGTTCACTTTATCAAGATGGCAATCATGAACTCCTCATCCCAGCACACCATAAGACAACTGTGATTGAACTAAGTCCAAGTAAAGAATACGTAAATGATTAATATCTAACAAATCTGTCAAATATCGAAATCGACCTGTTAAGCCTCGTATTTTATTAATCAAATTATCGATTTGTGAATCCCATCGTAAATGTCTATCAATGGTTATTCCTAAATATTTACGTATGAAGTAAATAGTAGATAACAGGTTTTTTCAGCATTTAGTGTAAGTTTATTGTATCGTTACCATTTCCTAATTTGTTTGAAATCTGTTTCTGCAGTTCGCTTTAATTCGACCCAAGAATCTGCCTGATAAAAAATCGTGGTATCATCAGCAAAACTAAGGACCGCACCTTTGACGTCAAGATTTAGTAAGCTATTTATATAGATAATAAAGAGAATTGGCCCCAGGACTGTTCCTTGTGGAACGCCAAAGGTTACTGTTCTCGCCTCGCTCTTGATTCCATTAATTACAACCTGCTGTCGTCTATCCGTTAAATAACTTTTTAACAGTTCATATGGCTCCCCCCTAATACCATACGCATAAAGCTTTTTCAAAAGATTTTTGTGACAGACCGTATCAAAGGCTTTAGAGAGATCAACGAAGATACTTAAGGCAGGAATTTTTTTATCAATTGTTTCATAAATTAAAGATGTTAATGCACAAATAGCATCCTTTGTTGATTTACCCGCTCTAAAACCATTATGATGATCTGAGAAAATTTTATGTGTATTAGACGTTAAATTAAAAAAAAAATATAAAGTTTGTTAATATTCATGTTCAAAAGTAGAGATATAAAGTACTCGACTTGGAACCTTAGAAAAAATCGGAGTGACCTTTCAATATTAAAATTTCGACTTGAAATTTTCAGGATCTTTATAATTTTTCTTATAGAAAAAAATGAAATAATGAGGAAAAAAATTGAAAACAAAAAAAATCCGGTTTTCGACGATATTGAAATTTTTTAAAAATTCGGAGCGACCCTTTAAACAACAGATAACAGCATATTACTTGATATCTAACGGTTATAACTGTTAATGAGAAAAAAATATTACGAAGAAAAAAGTTTTTTACCTAAATCAGTATTTTTCAGTTTAGTAAATAATTTCCTATTAAAAATGTGAAGCAAGGTTTTTTAAACGGACGAAACTTAGCTTTTACAGTTACTAATCATTATATTTTTACAAGAATATATTAACTTACCTGTATGCACAGAAAATCCGAGCGGCATGCAGAGAGACGATTAATTCAATAATAATGGTGTCAGAATTCTAGAGAGTGAAAGTTAATGAAATGCAATATAAACTACCAACTTAGAATACACTAAAGAATTTTGTCATATCGCGATTTAATTTTTTGTTTGTTTCCATATTTACGAAACCAAAGAAGTTCCTTGCTTTTTATAAAAATCATACAAAATTACTTGTGTTATTGGGTCTGAACAATCTGATAAAGTCAAAGACAGAACCAATGGTTCCCTAACAAATACACCCAAGAATTAAAAATATTAATTTCTCCAACATTTGTAGGTTATTGGTTATTTCATTGTCATTTAGAATTCCATTCAGAAATTGGTATGGCTATGGTTGTGCAAGTAGGTGAAAAAAATGAAATATTGCCAGTTCCTCACAATTTCCCAAAATGTGGAGACTATTCGCTTGATCCGATGGAAGGAATGCATTGGAGTTAGAAGGAAAATATGTACTGAGACGTTCTGTTTTCTGTTAATATTCTAAAGAAATAAAGAAAAGTTTGTTTAAAATGTACTGGATTTATTGTCATACCTCTTCAAATCGAATATATTAAAAAATTCCGCCTCCTAATCTGAAACAATTTCATCGACGGTGTGCGCTTCTTTATTGTTTAAGGGCTATGCTTCTACACATTTTGTTAATTCACATTGCAAAGTTAAAATATATTTTTGATTTTCTGTATCTTGTGTGATCGATATGTAAAAATAACACTCTATACGATATAATTACTAATCTATTAGTGAAATATTTTACATATTGTGATGTTTGTTTATTTTAAACAAGAGTTTATTTATTAATAATTTATTTAAACACTTATTTATTTTATAACACTACTATTATAATTTATATATATTTCGAATGTCTTTAATCTGTTCACTATTTATCTTCAGTGTTTATATATCTAAAGACTTTTGTTGATCCTCTACCAATATTTATATACAAATTGGTGGTTCCAGAATGTTCCTCCACCAAAACATCTCATATCGGAAATATAGCAGAAACATTATCACGTTGACTCCGGAATGTTCGCCAACCCAGATAGCACACGACGTCTGAAAGACGTCTTTTTTGTGTCTTGGTTTGGTCTCAATGTCCTAGGACGTTATTAAGACGTCTTTTAAAATCCATAATTCAGACGTATTATTGTGAGAGCTCAAAGACGTTCTTAAGACGTCTTAAAGACGTCTTGCCAAATCCATATATAAATGTGAAAGCTCAAAGACTTTTTTTTCTTTATAAACTTTATTTACATATTAAAATCAGGTATATGTACAACGTCTTTAAGACGTCTTATTAATGGCTTCACAAGATTAATAAGTCGTCTTATTTATGGCTTATTTAAAGCTTCACAAGACCATTATAGGCCATTAATAAGACGTCTTAAAGACGTCTTATTTAAGGCTTCACAAGACCGTTATAAGCTATTAATAAGTCGTCTTAAAGACGTCTTATTTATGGCTTATTTAAAGCTTCACAAGACCATTATAAGCCATTAATAAGACGTCTTAAAGACATCTTATTTATGGCTTATTTAAGGCTTTACAAGACCATTATAAGCTATTAATAAGTCGTCTTATTTATGGCTTATTTTAAGCTCTACAGACCAATATAAGCCATTAATAAGACGTCGCTTTTTGTAACATCAGACGTCTTCTAAGACGTCTTTCAGGAAATACCAGACGTCTTAAAGACGTCTCGAATGTCTTATGCTAGACGTCTTTAAGACGACTTTGTGCTATCTGGGAAAGTGCCTTCGCCATAGTCGTCACATATGTTTGGTCTTAAGGGGTTTAATTATATATGATAATCGGACAAGTTGAGCCTCAAAGGCCAAATAAGAGAGAGGGACTTGGAGGATTAGAGCATGACTGAATATTGAAATGGCTCACATAACATTGCCCCCTCCTTAAGAGATAGTTCCTCCTGGAATTCTTACGAAACTAAACTGAAATGGTTGTATCTGCAACTGAATCCTCTTTTACAATTTCCAGTTGCATGGAAGTAACAAGGGACTATCTTCGCTGAAACCTGGGCACTGGGCGAATGGCTGCAGACCAGTATTTGGACTCCAGTATCTTGAAAGATTACTTCCACCATGTTCCTAATGATCCTTCAATCCAGCTAATTTCCTTATATCTTCGGCATGGTTAGTTTCTGTACATTAGACTCCCGTACGTGCTCTCTTGGACTAAGTAATGCTTTCCATACATCCTGATGGGTGGATCGATCTTGGAAGGTGTTCTTCATTATTAAATAAAAAATAAAACGTGACCCGTCTTGAAAACTTCTTATTTGGTATTTATCAGTTGGTTGTCGCCACTCTTTGATAGAAGCGACTTTTTCGTTATCTACAGCCACGCCATCCTTACTGACTATATGACCCAGGTAATTGGATATTTTGGAACAGCTGGCATTTCTTGGGGTTAAGCATCAGTTAGGCAGCTTAAAGTCTTTTAAAAACATCTTCTAAGTTCTGTAGATGTTCATCAAATGTTTTCCCCAAGACTATAATGTCATCTAAATATACCAGGCACGTTTTCCATGATAACCCTCTCAATACATTTTCCATAAGTCTTTTAAATGTCGCGGGGCATTAAATAGTCCAAATGGCATGACATTAAATTGCCACAATCCAGATCCGGTGGTAAAAGCTGTCTTTTCTTTGTCTACTGGGTCCATTTCCACCTGCTAGTATCCAGACTTCAAGTCTAAGGTAGAAAATAGTTTACTTCCGGCCAATGTGTCCAATGTATCGTCGATTCGAGGAAGATGATAACTGTCTTTCTTGGTAACATTTTTTAACTGGCGGTAATCTACACAGAACCTCGTAGTTCCATCCTTTTTCTGGACCAGGACTACCGGAGAGACCCATGGGCTGGTAAAAGGTTTTATCACCCTGTCTTCCTTTATTTCCTAAACAATCCTTTCAGATTCCTCTCTCTTGGCCTTTGGTAATCTTTGAGCTGATTAACGAATCGGTCTGGCGTCACCAGTGTCAATTTTGTGTTTTACAACAGAAGTTCTTCCTGTTTTTCCTCATTTTGGTACAAAAATGTCACGATATCGTCGAAGAAATTCCTTTATTTTTTTTTTCTCTAATTGATTCAGAGATTGACCAGCAACTGCAATCATTTGCTTAAATTTGTCACTGGAATTATCAGAAGTTGTAGTCTGACGAATTACGGAAGTTACTGGTACACAAGTTCCGATTCTGGTCTCTTTCTTGATGGTAATTGGGTGATCATTAACGTCTATAAGACGAACTGGAATCTCTTTAGCAGTCGTGACCAACCCCTTTCCAATCAGAATTCCTCGTCCAACCTCTTCATCGTAGTTCCAAGGTTCCATCAATACAGGTGTTCCTTCTTCCATAGTTTCTTGAAGCCGTGCTACTATAACGGTTTCACTTCTTCCACATACCACCGTATCCTCCTGTACAGCAACTGGCACGGTACTGTCCCCATATGGATGTAGGAATATCTCTTCGGCACCAACTTTGATCACTCTGTTCTTTGATATCAGCGATAATAACAGTATGAGTGAACTTTTCTGTACCAATGTTGGCACTTTCACCGGTGGCAGTCCGCAGTAGCAATCTTGTTGGTAGAAGTTTCTTACGGTTATTTATAGTTGTTGGTCGTATAATAGTCCTAGTTGCTCCAGTATCCACCAACAGTGTATTTTTACCATTTACTTCGCCGTCTACGTATACACTATCATCGCGACATTTCAAAGAGGCTATCAGTATAGGAGGGTCTTTGGAACGGTTTCGGGTCGAAGCTATCCCCTCTAGGCCGACCCGCTCTAGTTTTCCTGCGGCGTGTTGTCTTGATTCGTTGTGACCCTTGGACGTTTGCATGAACTGCGTACATGTCCTAGTTCACCACAATTCCAGCACCTAATGGTCTTTGTCTTCATCAATAAGGCTCTTTATCATGTTTACCAGTTAGTCGAATTTACCTTCCTCTTCTTCTTCTTTTACGGTCCTTCATCATCTGAATGATTATTTTATTCTCAACGGAAGAAATCTTATCATCCATAGAAGAAATTTCGTTTTTCATAGAAGACATTTCGGAAGACACTTTTTCTTCCAAAGAAGAAATATTAGACGAAAATTTATTTTTCATAATCCCTAAAGATTACAAAAATTCAATACCAACCTTACAAAAAATATGCTAAAATTGACATTAGTTAATTGTCAGTTTGAATTGGCTTGAAAAACACTTTATTTTTTAATTACAATTTAACTTTAAGTAACAATTACTTAATAAGGATTTTAATGTACGATTGAAAAATCGGCTGTTATTAGTCTTCAAATTAACTAATATCAACTTTAATTGTAAATTACTTTCTAATTTTAACTAAATGGTTATTTTACCTTAATTCTCAATTAAGACCTAATAACCACTTTAATGTTGAGATGAAAAACTGGCTGTATATTTTAAAAATTTGGTGTGGTGTCAAAATTAAAATAGATTTGAAATTAAGGGATGATGATGAACTGGAAGCTGTTGAATTAATATTAAATGGAATGCCGCAAAGAGTGTATACGAGAAGCCAGTATTTTGAGAGTTTGTATTCACAGACCTTTTTTCTAAGATTTTGATTATCAAAAGAGGGTGTTTTGAAATTATTATCGCAAATAGAGGATAATTTGGAATGTCCATATGTTATGTTTGTATTTAATCCTACAATACTGGTATACATTTTGTAAGTTTATTCGATTTTTGATAATAATTGTTTGTTTCGCGAATTATTCAATTATTGTTACTAGCTTACAGCTTTTTAATAAATCCTATAAAAAAAAAAACAAGAAACACCATTGAGTGATATTTTGGGGTGTGAAAACGAAGATATCCGGTAATTGCATATGGGTGAAGTTTAAAACAACAAACAATGTTGTCTGTAATAGTGTCTACTGCAATTATAAACAATATATGTAAAAGAAGAAACGAAGAACTACCTAGAAATGAGATCGATTTTCTTTAAGTTCTTGAACAATTCAGAGTCTCTGACTTACCACCCCCACATGATAATATTGGCATCAACGTTAGAAATAATGTAATAGATTACTTTGAAGCCCTTTGTAATAGATTTGTATAATTATTCAATAAAAAAAATAATTTTTAACATTTTTTTAATAACTTTTTTCTTACTAATAACTCTTGAAATAACCAAAATACCAGTTTTAGGTAATTATATTTTATGGTAAATACAATAGAAACAGAACAAATCGACTAATAAAAACAGAACAAATCGACTAATAAAAACAAAATAAAAATATTAAAATTATAAAAATCTCTTTAGAAATCATTTATAGCAAAAAAAAACATAAAACAAAATCTAAATAGCTGAAAGACAATTTTATACGTGGGTCATGACAAAAAAGAAGAAAATCTCATAGTTGCCAAGTATTTTATTCGTTAAATAAAGCGTTGATTAAAAGCTGTTGGTGCGAACCATCATATTATAAACTTCACGTTAAA